CTCTCCCCCCCCCTCTCTCCCCTCTCTCCCTCTTCCCCCCTCCTCCTTCTGCCTCTCTTCCTCTCTTCCTCTCTCCCCCTCTCCCAAAGATATGATCAGAAAGCAAATAGGGGGAGGCAGAGTGCTCAGTTAAAGCTAGATTGAGACTACTGTTGCTGGCTAAAAGCATTACCTGATACTTAAGATGCATTTTAGGGCAAATACATTAAGACTGAAAATGTGCAAAGACTATTTTTTATAAAGAATAGCTCCACGTTCCCAATTAGTCTTATTTAAGATGACGGAAATCTGACAAGCACCTACAAAATCTACTTCTGCTAAATATACCCAAACTACCTAAATGAAGAGAAACAAACTGGAAGCTGCCACACACTTCAGTAGCTACCCAAGCTGCAGCAGTCAGGTTCATTTAGCAGCATAAATTTTGCCACGAGGAGTGAGAGAAATTTTGTCAAAGAGCATTGTCATTCTAAAAGATGATTTCAGAACAGAAATGTAATTTATAGGCTGATGTAATAAAAGTTGTTCTGTTCATTACTTTCCAATAAATAACTAGAAGGCTTCTGTATCCTATAACCCTGCTTTTTCAAAAAGAAATTGAAATAAAACATAAATCAAAAAATATACTTTAGAGGCCTATAAGCCAATACCCATTAGTAACTACAAAAACAGCACTTTACATTTTTATGCAAGTTTGTTATAGCCATTTCTTCTTAAGTCTACTTACCTATTCTTCTCTTCCTGCTCTAAAGAAGGCAATACATATATATCATCAATTTCTTCTCTTCGAACTTGTGTAATACTAGGCAAAGCTTCATTGCTTAGGGAAAAAAAATAAAAGTAATTAAAAGAAATTAAAAATTATTTGTCCCTTTTAAACAGGGACACAATAATTTTCATTCTTGCCTTTTGCCTGTTAGAGCGGTTTTGATAGCTTGTCTCTTCAAAAATGTTTTCAAGAGTTTCTCTGTAGTTTTTCTGGAATCACTGCCTGCCAATTCTTTTCTTTGTCTTCGCTTAGCCTGTAAACATAAAATTAATGCACCACAGTTTCACTAAAACAGCATTTGCTGGATGCTGAAGAGAGACACCCAGCAAACTACTCCTACAACTGTGCATGCTGAGTCTGTGGCTGACTCCCAACTCATTCTCCACCCGTGGGGGTCAGAGCCTTCAGATCCTCCAAATCTGTCCGGTCTCTGTGGGCCTCGGGACTCACTAGTGGCTTCTGAGAACAAACGCCTGCAAGGGCTGCATGCAGGCACTGTTCTGGCAGAAAGACCCAGACTTATGCCCTCCTCTAGCTCTTTGTAATTCTGATTTCTATGCAAAGGAAATCTGCACATGTGAAGCAAAGGGAATCCAAAGTTGTTGGAGCATGCAGCAACTGATGTTGGGATTGCAAAAATAGCTGCACAGCACTGCATTTCAAGCAGTCCGGGCTTGGAAGCATAGGCAGTATTCAAGGAATCTGGAAAAGACTACTCAGCAGCAGACCTTATCTTGGCATGACAATATTAGAATAGGCCGTATATAAAAACAGTCAGTAAAGTCACGTACCAAGGTTTGTCTCTTCAGAAGTGGCGCCTCTCCATCAAAAACAAAGACAGGCCGAATTCGAAAAAACAGTAACTTGCAGAGTCGATGAAACAGAGTGAGGAGGTGAGCATTTTGTATAGAATTACCACGATGATCTCTGGCTCCTTTTATTGCTTGGTTCAACCAAATACTGATATCTTAAGTAATAGTTAAGGAGGAAAATAGTGCAATCTTACACATAAATTAACAGCTTCTATACAGTGTGTATATATGACTAAGTGGACTCTTGTCCATTGTTTTAAGAAAACATATTGAAGCCAAAATAATCTAAATGCTTGTGAACTTAGAAGAAATTCTCATCCCTATTATACTAAACAGTGAACTAACTGAAGCAACTGTGCAGCTAACAGCACCTCTTCAATTACTTACAAATAAACGAAGGGTAACATCTTCTAGCATTTAACTATGTAGACATGATAGGAAAGAGGATGTAAGAGCATTTCAAACTTTTCCATGTTCTACTCCTTCTGCGAGCAGCAAATCCTGCAGCCTGACATGCATAAGAATTCTATAACAGACGCTTCAATTTTTTCATATACACAAATATCAAGATTTTTGTTTTCCGTGTATTAAAAAGCAAAAGAAATCTATCTTATATCGTAATTATTTAGAATTAAAAACACACACACTAATCACACAGAAATATGTGAACAGTTAAAATAACTTTGTGAGGCACAAAGTTGGTGTGCCAGCTTTACTTTCTAAGGATACCAACAGCAAGAATTTTCCCTTCCAGCGTTTCTGGGTTTATAGGTCTCCCAGTGCATTCAAGCAGTTTCCAAAGTCCTTGAACTCCCATTGTCCTTTCCTAGCTCCTTTGAGAGAAGAGAATTTATTAGGAATAACTGCAAATATAATCCAAAGATTATATGATCCACTTTATTAGTGAAAACCCAACGCATTGTTACTGTAAATAGAAACAATGGGGAGAGAAAAAAAAAAAAACACATACACACCATTAAAGCAGGGTTACATTAAATTCCAGCTGCTAAAGTAGTCTGCCAGACACGAAATTGCAAGCCAAGGCCCCTATCCCAACTATCTCACATCCAAGGTGGTGGGGGAAGGGGGCGTAGAATTCAAATCTGAACCTTTCTCACATTGCTGAGAATGCTTATCAAGAGAAAATAGACACCAGAAGAAACAGCAAATGTAAAGTGACTTGTCTAAGATATCACCCTCATTCAACCAGCTTATTAAATCTGCAGAGCCCAAGAGTTTTATTTTCTGGCTCGCATATACCACCCCTGGTATAAAATGGTAACAGCTAGCTAGCAAAAGGTGAGCGCGGACAGTATTTAAGTAGATCTGACGGAAAGGGACAAGTGCGGCAGGAGAGAGCATCTTCCAGCACGCTCCACCACGCGGGGCAACACTTAGCGGTCTGAGACCTGGCCTCGCTGCAGCTGGTTACATTAGGGCGATCTGCCGGCACCCACCACGGATGTCGCGAGCGGTAACACATCAAGTGATTTCTGAGGTGTTTGATACATGAAAAACTCGAATATCTGCCCGGGTACAGCGTGAGAGCTACTCCATGAAGCTCTTCCCTCAACAGGGTCCACGATGATCGATCCTCCCGCGCACTCAGGGCAGGCGGAGC